GTGTAGGGGGGGGGGAGGGGGGGGGGGGGGGGGGGGGGGGGGGGGGGGGGGGGGGGGGGGGGGGGGGGGGGGGAGAGAGAGAGAGAGAGAGAGAGACAGACAGACAGACAGACAGACAGACAGAGAGGGGGGATGACATGCAGCAAAGGGCCGCTGCAGCAACAGCCTTGTACATGGGGCGCACACACTCACAGCACGTGAGGAGCGTGTGTGACAGACACACTGGCGCCACTCTTTAACCCTTTGGGCCCGAACAACGCACAGTGCTTCCAAATTCACACCTGTTCTTCTCTATTGATTTTCTCCGCAACCGTGCGTCATAGCAAGAAGCCACGCATATCACGTGAAACAGCGAAATTGTAGCTTTCCGACAAGACCAAGCACTTGATAGTCCAATGTTTTCATAGCGAAATTAAAAAAAGATAAAATTACACTAAAATCATGAATAACAGAGCTTTCAGCTCTGCACACACATTACTCTTGGATGGATTACTCGCGAATGCAGGCTCGCACAGAAATGCCACGCATATCATATTAAAGCGCAGGACTAGAGCTTTCCAATGATACCACACACATCATTGTGCTGTCATGCCATCATGCTATAAATCCATCAAATCAGTCATGTCCGCCTAGCACAAACCACATGTTTTGGACAGCTGTGAAGTGACAGAATGTCCCAGCATCATGGTTCTTATATTGCCAGATTCCAGAGAGTCTCTCCTCTTCATATATGGCAGAATATGTCCACTTCCAACTTGCTATGCTGAGATACATGTAAAAATGTAAAGATTTAGTAACACGGATTTGTTTTTTTCATTGATATAAAAATTAATATAAAATACAGGCACATAGCAGGACATGGAATGATGGCAAACCTGGTTAGCCTAGGTTGTCCTGAAAAAAACAAGACATAGCATGTGTATGTAGCTTTTATAATGACTGTGATATGAGCTTAAAAGTAAAGGCAGTAAAAATACCCCCAAAACGCCTATAGGGCCCATGGGGTTACGGACACAAAGGGACCTGTTGAGTGATTTGGTGTCCTAAATCGCCAAAGAGCAGAGTTTAACTTCAATTAGTTCAACTAAGATGACAAAAACGCCAAGTTAAAAATATTAGAATACTACTCACCCTCCAGTCCTTGATGAAACTCAAAGAATTACGACTAAAATTCCGTTATCAAGGCCGTGCCGTCCCGTCAGCTCTCGCCTCTGTGTCTCTCTCTCTCTCTCTCTCTCTCTCTCTCTCTCTCTCTCTCTCTCTCTCCTCTGCTCAGAGTGACAAGCAGACGTGATGCGTCACGTTTGACGGCTACTGTAAGAAAGCCTTCCTGTAAAAGTAGGTTTTAAGACGTGACTTAAAAGAGGACAGAAACTTAGCCCAAATTAACACAGAGCACAGTTATTATTTTATGTTTGTTTTTTGTCTTTTTTTTTGTTGTTGTTGTTTTTTCCAGAGGAAGCAAAGAGTGACCTGTCTGTCAAACGTGACCCCTCCCCCTCGCGTCACGTCTGCTTGTCACTCTGAGCGGAGGAGAGAGAGAGGAGCCAGAGCTGAACAGAGGCACAGAAGACAGAAAGCCGGAGAGAGCATCAGAGAGAGAGAAGGATATTTTTTCGTGTTCTCAAGTCGCACTGGAGGGTGAGTAGTATTCTAATATTTTTAACTTGGCGTTTTTGTCATCTTAGTTGATCTAATTGAAGTTAAACTCTGCTGTTTGATGATTTAGGACACCAAATCACTCAGAACATGTTCATTTGTGTCCGTATTAAATGGATTTAAATGTTTTTTAATGTTTTTGGTCGAGTTTTGACAAAGACAGACTTTAAAGACAACTTTAAAGAGTGGCGCCAGCGAGTCTTTTCATCTTAATTGACCAACTTGAAGTTAAACTCTGCTTTTTGATGATTTAGGACACCAAATCACTCAAAATGTGTTCATTTGTGTCCGTATTAAATGTTTTTTTAATGTTTTTGGTCGCGTTTTGACAAAGAAAGCCCCGTTAATTTGTGGTGACAATGTGTCTGGAAGCGACTCCTGATCATGCCTTGGCCACGCTCATCAAGTGCTTGTGTGTGTGTGCGTGCGTGTGTGTGTGTGTGTGTGTGTGTGTGGCGAGCCGGAGGAGAGAGCGGCGGTGCATGGTTCGATTTAATTCTTGTTTTGTGGTTGCTTTGGCCTAGTTACGGCCAATAGTAACCCTTTACTGCGGAGAAATAAATGGTGGTTTGCCGAATAAGCGCGTCATCCTTGAGGTTTCTACCGTTTTTGGGGTTTTTTTGCGGAGTTTTTCCTTATCCGCTGCGAGGGTCATAAGGACAGAGGGATGTCGTATGCTGTAAAGCCCTGTGAGGCAAATTGTGATTTGTGATATTGGGCTTTATGAATAAAATTAATTGATTGATTGATTGATTGATTGATCCTTCCACACGTCCTGGCGGACGCCACAGTATTTTCTTAATTCCCTTTTATTCATATTGTTTTCTTAATTCCTATTTAATTAACCCTCTGTTGCATAGCGTTGCCATATCAACGACCCCCCCCCCCCCTTTAACATTTTGTAAGACTTTTTTTTTTTTAAATATGTTTGTTATTTAAGACATATTAAGTAATTAAAACATGCAAAACATTTTTTATCAGGTTGAGGTAAAATTTAATGTAATAGAGGATTAATATATTTTTTTCTTCATTCCTTTTTACAATTTTTCTCCCTTAATTTCCTTTCCTTTTTACTTGTGCACTTGCTGAGGGATGTTGCAGCTGACAGAGAAAGTTCCCTCATCACAGAATGATTTTTCCTTTCTTTAATTTTATAGATGACAAAAACGAAGGCATCGGGGGAATGACCCATTTGTGGGCGTGAACTCAGGGCCCTGTCAAAGCATCTCCGACTGACCCACGGCCTTCTGAACACTAAAGAACGGAGCATCGTGAACAACCTGGCCACTGGCCGGGTTACAGTTGAGCCTGGGCCATGCCCCTTCCCCCTCTGCTCCCCGTACATTCTCCACCTCGAGAAACACGTTCACCGCCACCAGGACGTCAGCAGAGGGAGGGTGGCTAAAGAGATCAAGGCCCTCAAACGGGCTTCTGCCATCAGGCAGCTGGCTGCCCTGAGGGCCTCCAATCCCACCCCACCAATGGGTAGCACACTGGACTTGCAGGAGGAGTCTGAGGAGGAGGAGCCTGGGCAGGGGCTTTGCCAGAATGCCCCCTGCAAGATCAACAGGCGACGCATCACAGAATTGGAAAGGGAGGTGTGAGACCTCAGTAAGGTCATTGCTGACCTCAATGTGAGTAAATGAAAAATGAGTATGTCATCATTAATTTGCAGTCCTGTTTTCTCTTGCTGGTTGTTGTCATGGCATGGCTCTCTGGACAGTAAAAGCTATCTATGTTCTGTCTGTCCTCCTCCTGACTAAGCAGAAGCGGCAGCAGCAGCAGGGTGGGGCACCATCAAGCTCCTCTGACAGCTCATCAGAGGAGGAGGAGCAGGAGGAGGAGGAGAAAGAGGAGGAGGAGGAAGAGCAGCAGCCACCACCACCAGCACCAGAGGAAGAGGGGGACTCATCCCCCTCTTCCTCAGAACAGCAGCAGCAGCAGCAGCCACCACCACCACAGGAAGAGGGGGACTCATCCCCCTCGAGCATGGAGCAGCAGCAGCAGCAGGCAACATCTGGCGAAGACAGTGGTGAGGAGGAGGAGGAGGGGCAGGAGGAGGAGGCCGAGCCACCAGTTCCTCAGAAGAGGAGGGCCTCCTCTTCTGTCCCTCCTGCTGCTGCTGCTGCTGCTGCTCCAAGACCGGAGCAGAGCACCAGTGAAGTGAGTGTTTAGTTCATAAATAGTTTCACAAATCTTTACCAAGGTTTGAACCAAGGAGAGCATGCGGTCATGTTAATTTTGTTTTGTATTGTTTTTTTTGTTTTTTTTATCCTAGGAGGAAAGTGAGCAGCTGAGCCCTAGGCTGAGGGCCATCAAGACTGCCCTCAAGCCATACTTTGCCGGGAAGAGCAGGGCCTCTAATTTGAGGAACATCTGCTTCGGCACCTCAATTGGTAAGAAATTACACATTCTATATTTGTGCAGGTGTGTGAAGTGTTTTCATGCTACATTCATCATCACGTGTTTCATTTTCACAGACAAATACATGGCATCATATGCTGATTTTGTTTCATGCCCAGAAGGCACAAACAAAATGAAAGAGAATGCCACATCGAAGACCACCTGAGCCAAAGTATTTGTAAAATACATGGCGCTCGGGTGGTCTTCGATCAAATACTGGACGTGGGAATTCATGGACAACATTGGTCTGCTGAAGTCGTAAGTAGTGAACCTTGAAAGATGTAACCTTACTAAGTACTGAAAACAAATAAATGACAGAGACTAAATCCAGACTGGTCTTTCCACAGCTACCCCGCTCTTCTGAGGTCATTTGGCCTGGCCCCGCCAACAGTAATACTGTATGTGGGCCAGGCCATTTCCTTTGTGGAATATCTGCGTGATGTTCAACCAAAATATTCCAGGGTGTCCACACAGAAAATCACTGTAATATTCAAGGAGCTTAAAAAACTTTATCGAGACCTGGGCCGCACGGTGCTGGGCCACCAGCACCTTGTAAAACAACAGAAGGGCCAAAGACTAGTGGCCAAATCTGACCTGGCCAAATGTCAGGCCTTGGCCAAGGCCAAAATCCTGTCACTCCTTGGTAAGTCTGTAATGCCTCTCTCTTTCTCTCTATCTCTCCCTCCTACACACACACACACACACACACACACACAGACTGTACTTTTCTGATATACATAATTATTCATTATTCTCTTCTCTCTTTAACTCTCATTTCAGATGACACCGAACAGGCCCGCCCCAAGGACCCAAAGACTCGCTACCGATTCTTCGGGTACCTTGCTGCATACATTTGCAGTATTTACGGGCACAGGGCGGGGGTCCTCACCTGTATGAGAGTATCCGAGGTCAGGGAGGCTGTGGGGAACCCAGAAACTGGCTACCTCATCAACGTAAATTTCAGTTTAATTTCAAACCCTTTCATAGTGTGATTTTGTTTCCACAGCTTTATCCAATGGAGCGCTCTCTCTGTTTTCTGTCATCTCTGTCTGTTGCAGGTCATGGACCACAAAACAGTACGGAAGTACGGAACTACGCAGATCTATCTGGAGCCCGAAGAGTATGATTGGTTCACACGAAGGCTCCGACTCCGAACCCGCTGTGTCGCGTTGAACAATTACTTTTTCACCTCCCTTGGCCGTGCAGAAGCAAAGGATTTGGTGAGGTACGTTCGCCAAGCCTGGTCAGAGATGGGCCTCCCAGGCTCCCCCAGCCTCCTTGACTTCAGGACGGCTGTCTCCACATATGTGAGTATGACAGAGACCTAACCTTTGATTTTCACGGGGTATATTTAATCCATACTCACCCAAGCATGAATTTGTCTTTTGTAGAACTTTGAGCAAAATGACAATGAAATGAGAAAAAAACTTTCTCAGTTCATGTGTCATAGCCAGCAGACTCAGGAGAGGTTTTATGCCCTCCACAAAACAGTGCAGAGGGCAAAAGAAATCAGAAACATGTTCGTTTGGCTCGCGCTGAGGGAAGAAGAGGGAGGTCCCTCATCCGCTGCGGCCTCCTCCCCCTCGGTTGCCTCCTCCTTTTCTGCTGCCACCTCCACCTCTGCTGCAGCGTCCTCCTCATCTGTGCCCTCCGCTGCAGCCTCCGCCTCCGCTGCTGAGGGCAGAGTAAGTGAAAACCATGTAATCACTATCACACAACAGTTCACAGTTCACTGAGCGCATTGTATGCCTGTCCTCTTTTCCGAAGGTCTCAACACCAAAGAAGCCAAGGGTCACTGCTCAAGCACTGGCCCAAAAGGTCAAAGAAAAGGTCGGCCTCTCACCCAGGAAGATGACCAAGGAGAGGAGGGCCCTGGTCATGCTCAAAAAGATTTAGTTTGTGTTTAGTGTGTGTTTTGTGTTTTTTTTTTTCTTGTTCACATTGTTCAAAATTATTTAAAATTGTTCATATTGTTCAAAATTCTCCTATAATTCTTCATATTGTCGATTATCCATTGTTATTTATGTTTTTTTAAAACATAAATGTAAAAAGTTGAAAAAAAAACACAACAAAATAACAAAAAAACAAACAAACAAACAAAACAAAAAAATAAAAAAATAAAAAATAAAAAAAACCTCCGCATGGGTACTGCCGTGACGTGGCGTGGAGGCTTACTGCCTGTGTGATCTTAGAGCCTCTGGATATTTTTCAGAGGCACTAAGACCACACAGGCAAACCAAAGTGCCCCCAAACCACAACTTACCTCCTTTCCAGGTTGCCAGGGTGTTATGTGTAAGTTATTTAATTTAATGAAGTTGAATGGTGTTATTATTCATTTCGGGCTTTTGGGATACCTTTCATAGTTAAAGGGTAGCCCATTTTGACGTATTCCTTTTTTGGGCTACTTTTTCAAAAGTTAAAAGGTAGCCTATTCAGACACCTCTTCCTATTTGGGCTCCTTTTTCAAATCCAAAAAGTCGCCCAAAAAGGAAGGGGTGTTAGAATGGGCTACATTTTAACTATGAAAAGTAGCCCAAAAAGGAAGAGGTGTCAGAACAGGCTACCTTTTAACTATGAAAAGTAGACCAAAAAGGAAGAGGTCAGAATGGGCTACCTTTTAACTTTGAAAAGTAGCCCAAAAAGGAAGAGGTCAAAATGGGCTACTTTTAAGGTAGCCCAAAATGACACGTTCAAAATGACACGGTCAAAAGGGGCTACTTTTAAGGTAGCCCAAAATGACACGGTCAAAAGGGGCTACTTTTAAGGTAGCCCAAAATGACACAGTCAAAAGGGGCTACTTTTCAAATATGAAAGGTAGCCCATTTTGACATCCTCTTGGTTTTGGTCAAAAAAGAAGACAAAGACCCCCCGAAGTACCCCAAAATGAATCCAGGTCACTTTGGGGTCCTGTTTTAGAAAGACCCTGGACAGTCTGGGACCCTCCCCACTGTAAGTCTCGCCCCCCGCCCCCAGAGTAGCCCAAAACTACTCCAGGTCATTTTTGGATACCTTGGGTCCCAACCACTCCGTGGCCCCTCACCATCCATCCACAGTCAATGCAACTGGTCTCCTGATGAACAGACTGGCACACAGCAGTCCTTGGCTACTTTTCATAGTGAAAAAGTAGCCTGTTCTGACCTTCTTCTGTTTGGGCTAACTTTTAACTATGAAAAAGTAGTCCAAAAAGGAAGAGGTGTCAGAATGGGCTACCTTTCAACTATGACAAGTAGCCCAAAAAGGAAGAGGTCAGAATGGGCTATCTTTTAACTATGAAAAGTAGCCCGAAAAGGAAGAGGTGTCAGAATGGGCTACCTTTTAACTTTGAAAAGTAGCCCCAAAAGGAAGAGGTCTAAATGAGCTACGTTTTAACTATGAAAAGTATCCCAAAAATGAATAGGTGTCAGAATGGGCTATCTTTTAACTTTGAAAAGTAGCCCCAAAAGGAAAAGGTCAGAATGGGCTACCTTTTAACTTTGAAAAGTAGCCCGAATAGGAAGAAGTCAGAATGGGCTACCTTTTAACTATGAAAAGTAGCCCAAAAAGGAAGAGGTGTCAGAATGGGCTACCTTTTAACTATGAAAAGTAGTCCAAAAAGGAAGAGGTTTCAGAATTGGCTCCCTTTTAGCTTTGAAAAGTAGCTCAAAAAGGACTAGGCGTCAGAGTGGGCTACCTTTTAACTGCGAAAAGTAGCCCGAGAAGGACTCGGCGTCACATCGGGCTCCCTTTTAACTGCGAAAAGTAGCCCAAAAAGGACTAGGCATCAGATTGGGCTCCCTTTTAACTGCGAAAAGTAGCCCGAAAAGGACTCGGCGTCAGAATGGGCTCCCTTTTAACTGCGAAAAGTAGCCCGAGAAGGACTCGGCGTCAGATCGGGCTCCCTTTTAACTGCGAAAAGTAGCCCAAAAAGGACTAGGCATCAGATTGGGCTCCCTTTTAACTGCGAAAAGTAGCCCGAAAAGGACTCGGCGTCAGAATGGGCTCCCTTTTAACTGCGAAAAGTAGCCCGAGAAGGACTCGGCGTCAGAATGGGCTGCCTTTTAACTGCGAAAAGTAGCCCGAAAATGACTCGGCGTCAGAGTGGGCTCCCTTTTAACGGCGAAAGTAGCCCAAATGGGAAGAGGTCAGAACGGGTTACCTTTTAGCTTCGAAAAGTAGCCCAAAAAGGACTAGGCGTCAGATTGGGCTCCCTTTTAACTGCGAAAAGTAGCCCGAAAAGGACTCGGCGTCAGAATGGGCTCCCTTTTAACGGCGAAAAGTAGCCCGAGAAGGACTCGGCGTCCGAACGGGTTCCCTTTTCTCTGCGAAAAGTAGCCCAAAAAGGACTCGGCGTCAGAGTGGGCTCCCTTTTCTCTGCAAAAAGTAGCCCCAAAAGGACTCGGCGTCCGAACGGGTTCCCTTTTTCCCTAACCCGGGGTAGCCCCTTTCGAATCCGCGTCGATTTGGCAGAAAGTAGCCCTTTCGGACAAACCCTGCGGGAAAAGGGAACCCGTTTTGACCCGGCCGTCCCTCACGGCGCGCCATCTGGTGGGAAAAGGGAACCCATGCCGACGCAGCCTCTTGCTTTCCCTATCTATCCTCGGGCCGGTCTGGCTTGGGTGCGGGCTTATACTGCGAGCACCGAGACGCCAAGATGTAGTCAGGAGCAAATTGCATGACAAGCGTGACAGAACTGAACAGGTGTCATGCCCACGTACAGTACTGAGGCCTGGGGCCCACCACCCCTCCCCACGACCACGATGATGCCTGGGTCACCGTCACGACTACATCCCGCAGCTACCGACAGGTCTTCTGGTGGACACACCCGGAAGGTCCCTGGTGGTCCCGATCCACCAGGTAAGCGCGGCTGCCTCTGTGATGGGCAAAGCCCCCGTAGAGCCACCCCAAGCCAGAGGTGGGTGTGAGTCAGACCGTAAGGAAGGCACAGGCCACAGTTGTTGGTATCAGGAGTCCACACTGCTACCGACCCTCCCGTCGAGCTTCAAGAGGCTGATCAGCGCATCGCCCCCGGCGCGCCCTGTAACCGGCAGCAAGCTGTCGGCCCAGCCACAACGCCACGGACGTCTACACCTTTTTCCAACACCCCACGACCAGGCAGAGGGAACTATCCCGAAGAACAGTCCCACCCACACCCAGCCGTAGGGTGCCGTTTCTGGTATGTTGCGTACGGGCCGACATCTGTAACCGACATGGCGGACGGCCCAGCCTTCGCCCCGCATAACAACTCCCACTTCAGTAACCCAAGTTCAGGCCGATATCTGTAACCGCCCGAAGGTGGCCCAGCCTTTGCCCCAAACCCAAGTGTACTCGGGCACTGGGTCGCTCCTGGCGGCGGCCCAGCAAGAGGCTACTACAACAAGGTGGCAAGCCACCATTCTACACGCCTTTTAGGGGTCCCTGTCGCCCTCTTCCTGCACCGTGCAGGGCCCCTTTCGTGCCGGAGGCCGCTCCAACCTCCCCTCGTCAGTCCATGAACTCCCTCAGGACATCCAGGGAATACAAGAGAGTTCTTCGACTGACAAGTTTAGCGAAGCTCAGGCGTTGAGCTCGCTGCAAGCCTAAGGTTCTCAAAAAAGTCTCACTGGTCGAGGGCCACTTCCCCCTGGCGCCCATGGGAAAACCAATCTGTACTCTCCGAACCTCCGATAGCTCCCTGAGTAGTACAAGAACGAGAGGGTGGTACTTAGCGACCTTCTCGAGCTGCGCAGCCTCGAGAGTGTCTTCCTTGAACTCGTACTGAACCATTACATCCACCACTAGTGCCAAATCGCCCTTTGTGAGGACAAGGTCGGGCGCCAGACACAACCCCGAAGGGCAGGTCTAGCGAGCCTCCCTCATCACACTCCAGCCATAGCGTTGTGCTTCAGTTACAATGAGATCACACACCTTGTGGTACCTCCAGACCCGGCCAAGCTGGACCTTCGGGCAGATCCCAAGTATGTGTGAACAGGTCTCAGGAGAACCCCAACAGTGACGACAGAGGGCATCAGAGGACGGTCTCCCCCTCCCTGCCGACTCGCGGGTAGGAAAAACATTTGCCCTTAGCTGAAGTGCAGAAATGTACCGGCCGGGAGTAAACCCCCCGAGTGGGGGTTGACTAGCCAGCAATTACTGACCCTGTCAGCCTCGAACGTCCGAATGCCCCACCCTTGAGATTTCAGGTTAGCTCATCTGTCAAACTCGACCTGGCGCCAATCGCACGGGATTAAGCGCCTCCTAGGCGTCAGCAAGCTGGGGGTCCCCATGTGCCCCTCCGCAGGGGAACCTGTCTCTGGACTAGTCCCCACCTCCTCCCCCTCCGCAGGGGGGTCCAGGCTGGGAAGTTCATCCAGTGAACCCCCAGCTCTCAGCCAAGCTCTCTCGAAAGTTCTGTACTTGATCGTTCGACGAGAGATCCACCGCACTGTTTCGTCCGAGGACTGGAACAGGCAGTAGATCCTCCGGGCTTGTATAGCCGCCACAACCCTTGACAATCTGGGTATGCCCAGTCCACCGCTAGACTTCCTGGAGTACAGTAACCCATCTGTTGTACAAGTTGGCAGGTGAAGCCACGACTTCACCGCCTTTCTGATGTGAGCGTCTACTTCCATCAGGGCCAGGTCTGACACCATGCAATGGTCGGCCTCGAAGATCACCCTCGGAAGAGCGTAGTTAACCAACAGGTCCACCCTTTCGATCGGGCCTAAGGGTGTCCCTCCGATGGCAGCTATCCACCGCTGGAGTCGTTCACCGATACCCTTGGAGACAATCCCTGTCCACGGGTTAACGGTTACGCCCAGATACTTAACGCCCTCGTCCAGCCCGATCAAGTGAAGGGGCACACCTCCCAACAGCCAGGGGGGCCGACTGTTGATCGTACGCACCCGCCCCACCGTCTCGGCAAAAAACCCGTGGCACTGAACCCTCATCCCAGTAAGCTCGCAGAAAGTCCTCAGGATATCCAAGTTGGCCACCATACCCTCCCAGGAGCTGCTCAACAAGACCAGGTCATCGGCGAATGCCAGCGCCGT